ATTTTATTGTCCTTTTTCTTTTCTTTATCCCCGCTGTGCCGTTGTATACATAAGTATCGACGAGGGATTGCTGAAATCCGTGGAAGGCGAGTACAGGTAGGATCTGGACTCGCCGGGCCACGGCAACGTGGGAGTTCCGGCCGCCGACAAGGTTTGTCTCTCGTAACATTGTTTTCCGAGATGCCTTGTGCCGGGGCGGACTTTGGACATAACGCATAAGGGATGGAGGTTATGCATCGTGTGGGATAAGGCCTTAGCACAGACTTTTGCATGACGCATAACGCATAACACATAAAGAGATAAACCAATCAGAGTCTTTCATTTCCATCCCCACTCCTCACTTTACGAATCTTGCATAATGCATAAAACATAATGCATAACGTGACGAAAAATCCGTAAGGATGAATTTTTATGTACTATGCGGGGAAAGTCTGCATATTTGCTCTTGCTCCAACGCCTTCAAGTTCGACGCGTAAATTCGTTCGTGAACTGCGCCAGGTGACATTCAACAAACCTGCTGGTACATATTCCATGCGTATGTATAATTTTCAAAATTCATTGCATGCTATAGGTTAAATGTTGTCATAGAATTATCGTTTAATTAAGACAATGATTTCAGGATTCAAGATTTTTGCCTCGTCCTGGCTATCACGTTGTCGCATTGGATAAAAATTCATCCTTACGAATTTTTTGTCTCGTTATCTGTGTAAACGAAGCTCGAATCCTACGTGTAAATTCACGAACTTCACCAGACTGCATTCAACAGATCTGCTGGTATATATTTGCGTATGTATAATTGTTTTCAAAACATTGCATGTTAGATTAGGTTAATTGTTGTGGAATTATCGTTTCATTGAGGCAATGATTTCAGGATGTAAGATTTTTGCCTCATTGTGGCTGTCACGGTTTTCTCAACGGACTACGGAGATTGAATCCAACGCATAAATTCGATTGTCAGCTGCGCCAGGCGGCATCCAATAAACCTGTTAGTAAACATTCTGTCAAACTTTAATGCACATTTATGCAAAAACATGTATAATCTAATTTTGTATTTTTAATTAAACTCCTATCAGACACCAATTCATCAGTATATGAATGAGAAAAATATGAATGACGAGGAGTTTCTTATTTTGTCTGTTCTGCAATTGTGCTTATTGGCTTTGTTACAACAAAGGAATCGAAGAAAAAGATGGTTAAATCGGAGATGGTGGGTGAGACCCATCAACGTTGCACGTCCTATATACGGCGATTATGAACATCTTTTCCAGGAGATAAAGTATGATGATGAAGATATATTTTATCGATACGTAAGAATGAGAAGAGAAACTTTCAACCTTCTATTTGAAATGACAAAGCCTTTTTTAACAAAATTAAGCAGACGCGCATTTAATCCAGAGCAACGGTTGGCCATAACACTAAGGTATTTGTTT